AGCTAAAAATTTATTCCCTAGGTAATAACGAACGTTTGAGTTTTGCTGCTAGAAGAGAAGAGTTATTGATTTTTAAACATATTTTTTAAATTAATTTGGAAACATATTTTGTAACACTTCTTCTTTAATTATTCAAGTTTTTATTTCTTTCGCATTTTTTATTGATTATATTTACAATGACAGATAACACATCTCTTACGCAATTAAAAAAAAAAAGCACACGGCGGCCACAAAAGTTCCGTAAGGAGTGGCTTAATAATCCGGATTTTTGTTCGTGGCTCCGGCCTCATTCTGATAAATTAAAAGCTCAATGCTCACTCTGCAAAGCAACAATCACTGCGGAGTTATCAGTTATTCGCAAACATGCGACTAATAAGTCTCATTTAATAATGTTAAAAGGTTTAAATAAACAAACGAAAATGTCTAATTTTATAGAAAAAGCTTCAAATGAAGTTCGAAATGATTCAATGAATCATAAAGTTTCCCGCGCAGAAATTAAATTGTGTAGTTTTTTTGCAGAACACAATGTACCTTTTAAGATTATGGATCACTTAATACCGTTACTCCAGGAGTGTTTTCCTGGTAGTGACATTATAAAGCAAGTCCGATTAAAATCTTCTAAAAGCGCGTGTGTTATTAAAAACGTAATCGGATTTGCTGAAAAAGAAAAACTAGCTAGTAAATTACAAAAAAACTCCTTTTAGTGTATTGATAGATGAGTCAACTGACATTTCAATGACTCAAACATTGTGCATTATCGTACGGTATTACGATGAATCTCTAGGAAAAATAGTTAGTCATTTTTGGGAGTTATGTAGAATCTTCAATGACGATTCTAGAGAAGTATCTGCTACAGCAGAGCATCTTTTTAATTGTGTCCGGGAATCTTTTCAACGTTTCTCTGTATCTTTCGATAAAATTATTGGTTTCGGGTCAGACGGTTGTAATGCGATGATGGGTAAACATAATTCAGTAAGAACAAGATTTGAAGATAGTTGTCCTAACATTTACATCATGACATGTATTTGTCATTCGCTTCACCTTTGTGCCAGTGAAGCTTGTGACGCAATACCGTCTGATTGTGAAAAATTATTTCATTCAATTTATAATCACTTTTCATCAAGTTCTAAGCGGCAGCATGAATTTAAACAATATCAACAGTTTTTAGAGCTAAAAAATCATAAAATTTTGTGTCCAGTGGAGACTCGATGGCTTTCAGTAACGGCTGTAATTACCAGGCTTCTAGAGCAGTGGGACGCGTTAACTTTATATTTTAATAATATTGTTTACGATATAGAAAGAAAAATATCTAATTCACGAAAAACAAAAACTTCTTCGGCTTTAAATTTTGAAATAGAAGAATTTATACTTCAAAATCTTAATAACCCTATTACAAAATTATATTATCATTTTCTTGAATGGATTTTATTAAAATTCTCAACTTTAAACAAACTTTTTCAATCCGAGAAACCATTAATTACAGTCGTTCATAAAAAAATGAGTTCTACATATACAGAATTACTTAAAAATTTTATGGTCCCGGATTACGTTAATAAAACACCGTTAAGTTTGATTAATCCGGCCGATGAATCGAAATATATAAATATTTTGAATGTTTACACGGGTGTATATTCAATTGATTTTTTTAACAAGCCTGAGTACTCGACATCTCCACGAAAAGAAGTACAAATCGAATTTCTTACTAATTGTAAAAATTTTTTCGTAAAAGGCTGCTTAGCAATAAAGAAAAGGTATGATTTCGAGAACGTTCTATTAAAAAATTTATCTATTATTAATCCTGAAGAAGCTGTTGCTCAATTTACACGAAATATAACACCTTCTTTATTACCAGTAATGCGACAACTACCTCGACTTGTCCCTAAAGAATGTTACCAATCAATCGACGATGAGTGGCGACAGCTACCAAATTTTATTTTACCAGAAAATATTAAAGTCACCGACCCTGTAGATGCATTTTGGCACAAATTAAAAAAATTTGAAGATACGGACGAAATTTATTCTTTTAAAAATCTAGCTAGTTTTTTTTTTAAGTATAATGTCACTACCGTTGTCAAACGCAGATTGTGAGCGTATTTTTAGTAAAATTAATTTAATTAAAACAAAAACTCGTAATAAGTTATCTGTAGAAACGCTTAATGGGTTGTTACTGTCTAGTAAAGGAGTAGATTCAAATTGTGTAAATTAGGAACCCAGTCAACGGGAATACAATTTAATAAAAAAATCTTTATATGTTAGTGAAAAGAAAAGCAATAATGATAAAAACATAAAAGAAGAAGAAGTGAATTTCGAAATGACAAACATGGACGATTGATTAAAGCCAAAGTAATTGTTTTGTTAAAGATTATGTGTTAAACTATTGAAATAATTTAATTTATTGTTATTAATTTTGTTATGTTTTTTTGAAAGTTTAATTGTAATGATTGTTAATTAGGTTGTATGAAAGTATAATATAAAAAATGTATTAGGTTGAGAAGTATGAAAATCAAATGCAATTATGTCGCATAATTGCATTCGAATTTCATACTTGACAGCCTAATATAATATTATATAATAATAATTTAATGTATTTAAGAAATGTCAGACATGGACGATTGATTAAAGCCAAAGTAATTGTTTTGTTAAAGATTATGTGTTAAACTATTGAAATAATTTAATTCATTGTTATTAATTTTGTTATGTTTTTTTGAAAGTTTAATTGAAGTGATTGTTAATTAGATAATATTAAAGTATAATCTAAAAAACTATTTAAATAAAAAAGAAATGTTTAATTCAATGTTATTACCGAAGAAAATGAAAAGTGGATGATTTCTTATGCTTCTGTTTAATAAATCAGTAATAATAAACATTTAAATAAATTATGTTCTGATGCTTTAATTGTAATACCTGTAAAAATACGTAACGTTATGCTTATATGTTGCAGCATCGTAATGCGTTATATGAGTATTGAGGGAAAAAAATTGCTAGAAAACTTGTCATTCCATTTAATAATGTAACAATGATGTTGGCATAGATTTGAAAGTGCAGTCAGTGCTGTCAGATCGTGGGTAAATCTTACCCTCTCCCTGTGCCACTGGGATTGCACACAATGAAAGTTTTCCATGTCCGTGTGTTTGGGATTTCGAGGAAAGCCGAGTGTAACCGAAGTTGGCGGTTGGCCACGAAGTGGCACATTATGAAAGCAACTCGTGTCCATGTGTTCGGACGACACGAGTCGCTTTCATAGTGTGCCACTCCGGCGTGCCCGCCAACTTCGGTTACACTCGACTTCTTTNGACATCCCAAACACACGGACATGGAAAACTTTCATTGTGTGCAATCCCAGTGGCACAGGGAGAGGGTAAGATTTACCCACGATCTGACAGCACTGGAACTAAAGTCTCTGAGGTCACTGCCGCCATTGTGTATCAGTAATATATATCATTTATTAATTACATTATGTTCAAACGAATTTATCATTTATTATTTACTATTATTTTGTTAAACTATTTTAATTTAGAAAAACCATTTGGTATATATACTTATTGAGTGAGATTAATTTTCCATAGATATTACGTCACATTAAAATTTTCAGTGACATCATTCTTCCTTGTTTTTATTTTATCAATAAATTACAAAATATGATCAAGAATTTATATATTAATAAACGATTAAAAATAGATATAATTTATAAGATTTTTTTCACTATATAATAGTTAAAAATATATATATTTTCTTTATATATATAATTCTTCTGTGCGTGTCTTTGTCATTGAACTCCTCCTAAACGGCTGGAACGATTTTAATGAAATTTTGTGTGTCCTCAGGTGGATTCGAGAATGATTTAGATTTACAATTTGGTCCAATTTAAATTGTTTATTTAATTGATTTTTTATTTATAAATTGTTATACGAAAAGTTTATAGGTTGAAGTTAGTCGATATTCGAGTTATAGAGAATATTCGAGTCATATAATATATATATATATATCGTATGACACGTGGATGATATGATTAAACGTATATCTATCAAAAATAACAGCAACCGAAAATTGCAAACAAAATATAATAACCGATAAAGGGTTAAGCAAGCTTAAGAATTTAGAAAATTATACTGATAATGTTATTCTGAATCGTTGATCGTTGATATTAAAGTTAGCACAATTTATGCTTACCTATTTATATTAAAATTACTATTAATCACTTTGATTTTTGATCTTTCGATAATTACTTATTTTTTATGTAAATAATATCTAATAGAAATCGTTTTTTTTTTTGTTGATTAAATTATGCGTCTTAAACGTCAAACCCATATAATGTTACATAACAAGTAAAAAATATAGTCTCCAAAAGATTCCGATGTAAATAATTTTAGTCATTTATCATTATAATATTAATGTATTTTATCCTTATTTACTTTTCCTAAATTGAAATATTCGTGAATTTATAATTTAACTTAGCCTATAAGTAAGAGCGTTTCTGGTTTTCAGAAACGATCAGTAAATGGTGCGCATGAACGTGTTGGCGATATTTTTTGAAATGGAGTTATGCTACAGTATTTTTTATACCAATTGTTTTATTTGTTATTTAAAAAATAAAATGAACTAACACAATATGATGTATTAGTGATCTGATCTCGAGTTTTAACTATAAAATCTTATAACTTATCAGTAAATTTATCAAGTAATTAAACATTTTTTGTTATCTAATTGTAAAAAGAAAAAATAAGCTCTTAGAATTATTTACATTACATTTTGTTAATATTTACATATTTACATATTTACATTACAATTCTTATATCTTCTTTACATTACAAATAACGATTCATATAACATGAAATCGTTATATTTACATTTAATAACGAATTTATAATTAAGATTTGAGAGAACATCTCAAATCATCCGTAAGACCACCTAAACCAATAGATGTAAAAAAAATTGATTGAAAAACGTGTATTTTTTGGATTATCTCGGGGAAATAATCCACTGAATGCTTCCTGTAATGTTACATCTTTAACTCTTTGATTAAGTTTCGAAAGACCCATGTATTCGGAAAGTTCTTGAAATAATATTTTAATAAATATTCTATTAGAACTGTTAGTATCTTCTTCGTTTAATTTTATACACGACAATACTTTCCATGATATAGAATCGGTAAATAACAAATGAGCAAAGAATTTTGATACATTTCTTAACTTATTACTATCTAATCGATGTATTGTATAATAAGAATCTTGAAATATTTGTTCGAAAGGTGTAATATAAGTTTTGTTTATGGCATAAAATCGTCCTGCTAACAATCCAAAAAATTTTTCGTACGTACGCGTTTCCGCGCAACAATCTAGAAACATATGACAAAGTGTTATTTCTTGTCCTGGCTTAAATTGCATTTTGGATAATTTATGTGCACATTCTTCAACATGTAATGATGAATGTATAGTCAAACAAATTGCTCTTCTAAGAGCAGTTAAATTAGTTTCCGTATTGTCTATAATAAGACCTTCTTTCTCTTTGGTATTCTCAGCATTGCTATCTTCTTCATCAGAACTTCCTTGTCTTTTTTGTCCACACAGCATCTGAAATATTAAGACACAACAGACAATTATAATTTAATTAAAACCTCAAAATCTAATGTGCAGTCTATAAACTATTATTTACGAAACATTTTGTGACGTCCCAGAAGGGGATGTCAAGGAGCAAGAACAATTTTTGATGTTACTATTGCCACCTTAAGAGGTGGTTAAGAATCCCCGAAAGATGGTTTTTATACTTTTACCTAACAGAAAAACATCTTTGCTTATCCTAGAATATTTACTACATTTCTAGAACCATCTCTTTTCTTTTGTCTGTATAAGAAATCACGTATTTATTCTATTCTAGAAATACTCTCACTTCTTCATATCGTAACAACAGAGGATGACAGTTTTTATACTTTTACCTAACAGAAAAACATCTTTGCTTATCCTAGAGTATTTACTACATTTCTAGAACAATCTCTTTTCTTTTGTATATATAAGAAATCACGTATTTATTCTATTCTAGAAATACTCTCAACTCTTCATATCATAACAACAGAGGGTGACAGTTTTTATACTTTTACTTAATCGGAAGGACACTCGCACAATTGGCGTACCAAAGTTCGAAATGAGTCGTCACTAGGACGTGAAAATTTAAAAGTCAATTAAATTCTTACTTTTCTTAGCATTCTAATGTTTTGAAATCTTCAGGATCACTTAAGTCTTCATCATCTTTAATATTTGCAGTGTAACTTAAAATATACAAATAAAACTCTTAGTTCTAATTAGTAGATAATTTTTTTAACTTCCCGCTAAGAAAATTGAACATTTTTAAATATTGAAAAGTTATTTAAAATATAAAAATTATTTATTCCGTAACTGTTTGAAAAAATTGTATTATATTAGTAAAAGCCATTTTATATATTCTAAAACATTAAATTTTATATCAATAAGAACTATTTATACCTGATGATAAAGAATCATGAACTTCAGACTCTTCGTATTTAAACACTTGCTCTTCATGGTTTTCTTTATTTTCATTTTCGTAATTATTAACAAATAAGATAGTTTTGTCTTCTTCATTTTGATAAATATGTTCTTTTCCAAGAAAACATTTATGATTGACTGCTTCATTAAATGATTTGATCAAGCCATTGCAATGTTGACAAAAGTATATTTCTGTAAAATAAATTTATTTATAGTTTTGAATTTTAAAATGAAATTGTATTCACATTTTATGCGTAGAATATAAAAAAAAATAGTCAATGAAAAAAATATAGAATATGTTTAATATAATAAACTAACAAATTAAAATTAATATTTAAATATTTTATTTATATTAATAAACTAACAAATTTTAAACAAATTTTTTCTATATTTATATATTATATCGGGCCGAGCGAGCGTACGATAATATTTTATTCGCTCGGTTGTTTAATGCTTAACGTCAACCACCTCCCACTTCACCACCCCAGTTCCCCTACAAATTTTTTTTTTCGATTTCAAGACCTTCCCGTGGAGTTAGCGAACCGCCGAGTAGACTAAACGAATAGTGAACGTTTTCTACCTAAAAACACTTTTTCCAACTTTTTGAAAATTTTGTCCGAGATTGTTGAATTTTTGTCGGATTTCAAATTTTCCCGGGGCGTACGATAATTTTACGCCCCTGTGTCGATCAAACGAACTAAAGTCTCTGGGATCACTGGTCACTTCTACGGCAGTGCTGTCAGATCGTGGGTAAATCTTACCCTCTCCCTGTGCCACTGGGATTGCACACAATGAAAGTTTTCCATGTCCGTGTGTTTGGGATGTCGAGGAAAGCCGAGTGTAACCGAAGTTGGCGGGCACGCCGGAGTGGCACACTATGAAAGCGACTCGTGTC